CACCTGCACAGATATAATTTCTAAATTATTTAAACAGTCCATCTAAACAAAAACTAGATAACGAGAAACTTTGCATTCTAGAAAAAGGATTAAATCCATCCACAATGAACGAGCTTTTTGGGGGTGGGGAGGAGGGGGTGGGGGCAACCGACTAGTGCCTGTCCTTTAATAGAACAGAAAGGTGCAAGGGAGTTCTGGTTGGCAGATTACAACGCCACGCAAACAAGTTAATTTCAGTATGCAGAAGACATAACACAAAGATAAATACGACTAACACAGAAATAATGCAGATCATTAGATTCCTATATATAGAGCTATACGGGGTTTGTCTGAAGCGATTTAAAGAAGTTAAAAATCTAAAAAGTATATTCTGTAACACCTTTAGAATAGGTCAGGAATTAGAAACAAAAACAATGTGCACATTTTTACCTGTTTATCCAAATATTAAAACATCCAAACATAAGTATGACTGGAAGGTAACATATTATAAAGCAGCATATTCACATCAAAACTGTGCTACCCGTTCCGGACCAGGGCAATGTCAAAGGCTCAGTCATTTAAAAAAAAAAACTTCTTATTTTCGATACACGAGGAAAGCCATCAGCTTAACCACCCTAGTCCGAGTAAGAAATGATACTGTCAGATTGTGAGAACAAACGTTGCACCAGATTCATTAATTAAGAAGCAGTAGATCAAATGGTTAGGTCATCTCGTTCGAATGCAGCCACAATAATAATAATAAGAAAACTCTACAGGGAAGCACACACAGTAGGAGTCTACGGGTCATCAGTAGAAGATCCTCCGTCGACATTTGTTTCAGTCCGTTACCATCCTAAACAATCTCGGAAAGCAGGCCAACATGGGTCGTGACGCTTAATCGGACAAGTGCTGACGAGATGAACGTACTGGTGAGATTTGATTCGGTTGGTGTTGTATTGTCGTTGCGCCAGCAACCGCTTACCGCTACGGTCGAGTGACAAGCGAGATTTGTTGCACACACAGCCACCCCACTAAAACTATAGTCCGTTCCAAAAGTCGTACCCTCAAATAATGACTATTTACAGTAAGGCAAAATATAACCTAGAGCTTCTTAACATCAAATATGTTGCTACTACCAGAAACTTTCTGTATAACAATAAATCAGAAAACTTGCTGTTACCAGAAACCTTCTGTAAAACACTAAACACTGATTAACTGCTAATGCCAAAAACCTCCTGTATAACTATAACACTGAACACTTATGACTGTCAGAAACCTCCTGTATAACTATAACATTGAACACTTACTACTACCAGAAATCTACTGTGTAACTACAACACTGAACACATGCTACTACCAGAAACTCTCTGTTTAACCATGACACTGAACACTTGCTACTACCAGAAACTTTATGTATAACTATAACACTGAACACTTACTAACACCAGAAACTTTATGTATAGCTATAACACTGAACACTTACTACTGCCAGAAACCTTATGTATAACTATAACACTGAACACTTACTACTACCAGAAACTTTATGTATAACTATAACACTGAACACTTGCTACTACCAAAAACCTCCGGTATAACTATAACACTGAACACTTGCTACTACCAGAAACCTCCTGTATAACTATAACACTGAACACTTGTTGCTACCAGAAACTTTATATATAACTATAACACTGAACACTTACTACTGCCAGAAACCTTCTGTATAACTATAGCACTGAACACTTACTACTACCAGAAACTTTATGTATAACTATAACACTGAACACTTACTACTGCCAGAAAACTTATGTATAACTATAACACTGAACACTTGTTATTGCCAGAAACTTTATGTATAACTATAACACTGAACACTTACTACTACCAGAAACTTTATGTATAACTATAACACTGAACACTTACTACTGCCAGAAACCTTATGTATAACTATAACACTGAACACTTGTTATTGCCAGAAACTTTCTGTATAACTATAACACTGAACACTAACTACTACCAGAAACGTTATGTATGACTATAACACTGAACACTTGTTACTGCCAAAAATCGTCTGCATAACTATAACACTGAACACTTACTACTGCCAGAAACCTTTTGTATAACTATAACACTGAACACTTTTTACTGCCAGAAACCTTTTGTATAACTATAACACTGAACACTTACTACTGCCAGAAACCTTTTGTATAACTATAACACTGAACACTTGTTACTGCCAGAAACCTTTTGTATAACTATAACACTGAACACTTACTACTGCCAGAAACCTTTTGTATAACTATAACACTGAACACTTGTTACTGCCAGAAACCTTCTAAAGCCCAAATTTCGCCCAAAAGACGACAGCTTCAGTCTAGAAGTCCCTGAGAACTTCAACTCCAGCACTGTTGGCTTGTCCATGGTGACACCCTGGACAGAATTGTCAAAGCTCACCGCCTGGGACTACATCCGAAACAACATTGTCTGGGTTACTGGAGGCTTTGTCTTGGCGACTAAAGAGGTACGCCTTCGGTTTATGCATTTTCTTTCACCGTCTACATGTTGTGATGTTAGTCGCCATGTGTTTGTTCACAGTCTCCTGTACCTTTTTTGTATATTCCATGCTGTATGACTTGGTAGCATTGTTTGTCCATTTACCAGTCTCTTTATAATTTTTTCAGTCTGACGTTAGTCAAACTTTTGTCCACAGCTTTTCGTCTTATATTGTTTATTCCCTGCAGCATGACTAATTTAGTATTAAATCAATCTGTCCTCTTGTAATCCATGATCTAGTTAAGTCAAGTCAAGTCAAGAAATGATATCACTGCACTCGTAGCATACCCATGCTTGCCCCGTCCTCATCTTCAGCAACCAGCGCAGAGTTCCAATACTGATGGTACCGATCAGTCTGGTGTTAGGTCCGTCTCGCCTTTCAGTTATCTCAAAGTCTGTAATCGTATTTATCCAAGTTTTTGAACTATTTGAATCACAACATATGGCTTAGGTCATCATCCTTCTATAATCTCCTGCCTATTCTTTTTATGTAACGTCACCTTTCGGTCTCTCCAGTTCACAAAGTAATACTGTCATGTAGGAATACACGGGAATCACACCCCATGGCGATGGCGAGTGCCACTAGCAAGAACAGCTCCCGTTAGGAAACATCTTTTCCAATCAGAGTCTGAGATTTCAGAACCATTGTTGCCACCACATGTGTTCAGTGTGCTTCCTAGGAACTCAGATTTCAACCTATCTATAGTCATTTAATTTTATTGGTACCAGCGTATGAATTCTTCTTCTTCTTCTTCCTCTTCTTCCTCTTCTTCTTCTTTTTCTTCTTCTTCTTCTTCTTTTTCTTCTTCTTCTTCTTCTTCTTCTTCTTCTTCTTCTTCTTCTTCTTCTTCTTCTTCTTCTTCTTCTTCTTCTTCTTCTTCTTCTTCTTCTTCTTCTTCTTCTTCTTCTTCTTCTTCTTCTTCTTCTTCTTCTTCTTCTTCTTCTTCTTCTTCTTCTTCTTCTTCTTCTTCTTCTTCTTCTTCTTCTTCTTCTTCTTCTTCTTCTTCTTCTTCTTCTTCTTCTTCTTCTTCTTCTTCTTCTTCTTCTTCTTCTTCTTCTTCTTCTTCTTCTTCTTCTTCTTCTTCTTCTTCTTCTTCTTCTTCTTCTTCTTCTTCTTCTTCTTCTTCTTCTTCTTCTTCTTCTTCTTCTTTTTTCTTCTTCTTCTTTTCTTCTTTTTCTTCTTCTCTTCTTCTTCTTCTTCTTCTTCTTCTTCTTCTTCTTCTTCTTCTTCTTCTTCTTCTTCTTCTTCTTCTTCTTCTTCTTCTTCTTCTTCTACTTCTTCCTCTTCCTCTTCTTCTTCTTCTTTTTCTTCTTCTTCTTCTTTTTCTTCTTCTTCTTCTTCTTTTTCTTCTTCTTCTTCTTCTTCTTCTTCTTCTTCTTCTTCTTCTTCTTCTTCTTCTTCTTCTTCTTCTTCTTCTTCTTCTTCTTCTTCTTCTTCTTCTTCTTCTTCTTCTTCCTCTTCTGCATTCTAACACCATGTGGATCATAGGCCCTCAACCAACTCGACAACTTGCAAAGAATTTCACTATGAGGAATTTTTTAATGCTACGGCATTACAGCTAAAATAATAAGCTTATAAGAAATGTGTATCATGGTTTTAAATTGTTATTTCATTTCTAACGTATGCCAGCTACAGTTGAAGAACTACCAAAGATATGAAACGGACATTAACTGCATTTGAAAAAAAAAAATTTCTTTGAAAAAATCATGATTATAAAATGGAATGAATATTTTTTAAAAAGTAAATAGATCAAAGAAATGCCTCGACAAATGCCTGTATCGACTGCAGTAAGACAAAGAAGGTGGAGATTAATTCGGAACACTCTGAGACAAAATAAGCAAAGAATTACAAAACAGGCACCGAAATGAGAAACAAACGGTCTGAAAGGGATAAAAAGAGGACGTCTAAGGGAAACATTAGGAGGAACTTTATTAAGAGAGGAAAAAATAATGGGCTGAACTCCATGTCAGAAATCGAAAAAGTTGTATGCAATAGAGCTGAGTGGTGGAATCCAATGCTAGCCCTGTGTGACGTCTAAGAGCACACAAAGGATCACGATATGACTGTGGTCTACTTATGTTTTCTATGCTTTCATATCTTTGTGTTCTTATAGAGAATCCTTTAGATGGATTTCTCTGTGGATCCGTATCTCTTGTTCCTTCTATAAAACAGTACTTTTACTTTCTTCTGTAGAACCATATGTTGTAATATTTTTCTACAGAACCGTATTTCTGTACTTTATATTCATAGATTATTACATATAAAATGAAATCTTAGTTATATGTCCTTTACAGAACGTTACAGAACCAATGACCACACTTGTTGACTGTTTTTGGTTTCAGTAGGTAGTTTTACCTTCAGTAGTTTTCCAGTGCCAACTGGACGGTCGGCCTTTCAATACCCCTGTCAAATCAACCAATGTAGTCTGGAGCCAAATCGTCCGCAGCTGAACTTCAGCTGGGTACCTCAGAATTACGAAGCGCCTTCGCAACGTCTAAAGCACAGACGACTATGCATTAAGCTATAAATGCGAGGGTGTGCCACACAGTGAGCGTCGGCGCATAGCTGCTCCTGTAGCTATGACTCGTCAGTGAACGACGGGCAGGGTGAACTCCCATTCGCCGGGAGAGACCAAAGTCTGTCACGGAGGCGCCCGTCTGCTGTTATCCGACGAAGTGCGGACAAAGATCAAGTTTCCATACGCAAACGATAGGGTGTGCGGGTGCGAGCTGCAGGGTATACTTTATTAGAAAATTAATGTTGAACTAAAAAAAAAATTGCTAGGTGACAAGCTAACTCGGTTTGGTGACATAATCTATAAACACTGTGCCTGCTAATTCAGAACAGTTGAGAATTGCCGAGCAGACAAGAACGCACTCAGAAAAAGATCAAAGCCACTACAGGCAGCGCGAACAGGAGGGACTGTACGATGTATGGCTGCACAGTGCCCTTTCTTGCGTTGAGCGTGTCTGTAAGAACAGACGGAGAACCAAAGGGAGCGAGAGAAGTTCTTTAGAGACCCGTTCCAGTTTGTCCAAAGCCTGTTCGAGCGACCAAAGACTGGGACTCTTGTTGTCGGTAAAGAGGAACTGGAGTTGTATCTACTGAAGATGTACTTCGATCAGAAAAAGAAAGAACCTCCCAATGACAACCCAGAGATCACCGGAGGCCTAAAGCTGCCATAGTTACCAAAGATATCATTTTAAACCTGCTTAGCTAGAGTTCAAAGAAGTTGTGAAGAGAGCCAGCCGCAAATCTGCCCCGGTACCTAACGATGTACCGTACATGGTGTAAAACCGCTGTCCAAAAATCTTCACCGCTTGCTACGATTAGCATTAGCCGAAAGTACGTATGTACCGAGTAGCAGAAAGCCAACGGAGTCTGCATTCCAAAGGGGCGAGACTCCTCCATTCTATCCCAAGTCAGAACTATCTCGCTGCTGAACGTTGAGGGCAGGATATTCTTCTCGGTTATGACACGCAGGCAATCATACAGTATTTGATGGCGAACAAATATATTGACACAACGGTTCAGAAAGGTGGCATTCCGGCGCCCGTGGGTGCCTTGACTAAGTGGCCGTGATCTGGGAGTGTATCCAGAGAGCTAAGGCAGAGAAAACCAATTTGCATGTGATCCGACTGGACCTCGCCAACGCCTATGGGGCGGTACCCTATAAGCTTTTGTAGCAGACCCTTCGCACGTTCCACGTACCGTCACAGATCACCGAAATGATCTAGCAATATTTCTCAAAGTTCACCATACGCTTCTCTAGTCCCACGTTTACTACGAGATGCCCTGAACTCTAGGTTGGCATAGCAATCGGATGTCCGATTTTGGCAATACTGTTCGTAATGATCATGCTGATTATGTAAGACAGGACTGCCGACTACCGTCAATGCCTCTAAATTGGGGACCACTGAATGCCGCCACTGCGTGCATTTATGGATGACACAACTATCATAACAGACAGTGAGGGTGATGCCCGCACGATTCTAAAGAGGTTGGACGGCGTTGTGGAATAGTGTGACATGCGGTTAAAACCGCAGCAATCAAGTAGTTTGTCAGTCCTCAAAGGTAAAGTCGCGGCAACCCGTTTCATGGTGGCAAGGAAAAGGAGCCTCACAATTCTGGAGTAACCGGTGAAGAGCCTAAGCCGCGTCTACTATTCGAAATAATGTGACAGACAGGAAGCCCGACGTATACATGAGTCACTGGCAACAGACCTGCGTGCTATCGAGCGATGCAGGCTGATCTGGATGTTCAAGGTCTAGGTCTCTAGTTCATGTTGATTCCCAATCTCCTCTGGTCGCTACTCGTGTACGAGGTGAGCATGACCGCAGTGGAAATTATGGAGAGAGAAAATCAAGACAGCCATGAGGAAATGGCTTGAAGCACCGCCTTGTCTGTCCGGTGTGGCTCTCTATTGTGAACATGCTAAGTTGGTACTTCCGTTCAAATCAATAACCAAAGAGTTTAAAGTCGGCAAGGTAAGACTCGCGATGATGCATCTTTAGACACCACGGTGGCAGCTGTCCAGCTTGCTTTAAAGACATGTACGGAATGGAAAGTCCTCGATGTGATAGAATCTGTTCAGGAAGAACTGAAATTAAAGAAAGTCGTGGGTTACACACAAACCGACTGACACGGTCTAGGGCATAGGAAAGTCAGTTGGTGTGCCAAAGTCACGGCCAAAGAACGCAGAGACATTGCAATACAGCAGATAAGGGGCACCGAAAACGAAACTCGGGTCCAGAAAGTCACGCAGCAGTCGCAGCAAGGCAAATGGGTCGGCCACGAGAGCACTTTGCCACGAATACTCACATGTGGGGATATCTGGCGAATGGCGCCCGCTGCGGCTGAGCTTTGTCGTAAGATCTGCGTACGATGTGTTACCGTCTGGCATCCACATGGTGAAATGGCATGCGACTACCTATCAGACATGCCCACTGCGCAGATCTAAACAGACG